GGTCCCCACAGCAGCGGTGGGCTGTTCCCCGAGGAGATTCGGGATGATGAACCGGTGGCGGAGGTGGATGCTGTGGGTTCTCCCCGCGCTGGGTGGGTGTGTGCGGGGGGAAGGTGGCCAGGGTGCTGTGAAGCAGCTTGCAGTAGCCCCCTAAAGCATAACAAATTGTTTTGATCTTTATTTCTCAAGGACAAACCAATTATGCCTATCAGAAGGCAAAGCTGCATAATCGCCTTTCCTCCAGTCCCTCGTTCGGTTGTGTTAAAATGTTTTCTTTGCCAGGCTCGTGCCCGCAGAGTTGGTGTTAATTCCCAGGCTGGTCCCTGACGGTGAACTTGCTGTTCTCGGCCAAGGTCGGCGGGTGGACGGGGACGTCGCTGCCCTCCCGCAGCGGGTGCCGGGGAGGTGGCTGGCATGGAGACAGCCGGTGACCACAAACCTCCTCCTGCTCTTTCCTGTCCAGAGGGAGGGAGGGATCCCAACGCTTCTGAGATGTGAACAGCTAGTTCTTTGAATATCGTTAATAGCATTAACAATAAGAGGAGTGACAATAACACCCTGACTTTAGACGCGCTGTTGAATCTGCTTCGCGGTGCCGAGCATGAAAGGGTACAATTATTTTTCATAACCTTTTATTTTCCCTCTACGGCAAGCTAAGCAAAGCAAGTTTGTCAGAGGCAGAGTGCTCCTAATTTGGTCTCCGGTGACCTCGGCGGCGGTGATTGGCAGCACGGTGTCGGGAAGGAACCTGCGCCTGTGAGATAGAAATGAGCAGAACAAATGCCGTAGGACAGCTCGGGCTCCCCCGAGGACACGGGCTGAAAAAGGTGAAAGAAGTGCAATTACAGGAGGTTTTCAGCACAGAAAGTTAATTAGCTACTAAATAGCATTTAGTGCAGTTCAATGTGGGGAAATTTATGTTTTGAAAGCAAACAGATCAATGGAAAGCCCATGGAACAAGCTTTGGAAAGTCCGGGTTGGCATTGGTGTACTTTGCACTGTGACATCCTGGGCAGTTTTTGCAGGTTTCCCCGACAGAAAGAATCACTGGGTTTGTTTCCACGTCTGTTTGCAGAGGTATAGATGCGCTTCCACGAGAGGATGTTCTGACATGTCATTGCAGGAATTCTGGCTTTCATCCAGACTATCCAACGCTTTTTTCCCTGTTCACCGAGGCCAGCATAAATTGATTCTGTTCAGGCTCTCTGAGGGAAAGGAACTTCCAGTTCCAAATATTTTCAGCCGAAGGGTGAATTTAACACAATTCTTAACCCAGTTACTCGTCCGTGCAGATCAGACGTGAGTAGCTGGTGCGATGGCAGCGTTTCACCCTCGGCGCCTGGCTCTGCGTGGCCGTGCTCCCCTGGAAGCGGGTGCCACCCCGCGACGTCCTCCCCGTCCTCCTCTGCAGCAATGCACACAATGAGCAGAAATAGTTCAACAAATTTTTTTTTTTCAATCCCTTTTCTTTTGCGCTTCTTTTCTACATCACTGTCATAATCTATGTCTATTGTCAAGGACACTTTTTAAAATCAGAACAATAGGTCTGGGTTCCAGCTGCCCGATGTTGCCGTACAGTCGCTACACGAAATTTTGAGGCATTTTGGGATAGCTTTGAACTTTTATTGATGGGTTATTTATTTGAAGCTCTCTGTCGCAGACGTTCCAGGCAGCGGATGCTGCCATGAGCTGTTTCACCTTGCTGGAAAGCAGGGGAACCTGGAAGGTCAGTGCCTGTGGGGAATAGTGGAGAAACAGAGAACCGCTAGCCCCCGGGGAGGAAAAGGGGCGTGTAATTCCCATTACATGGATGCTCATCCATTATGATGATACTTATTGTCTGTAAGCGATGCTTCACGAGCCAGCGTGCAGGGACAGCCGGGGCCAGAGGGAAAGCTGTTCTTGGCGAAGGCGCGCTGCGGTACAGCGGCGATGGAGAGCCGGCCGAGGGGGGCTTGGCTCTCCCAAGGGCTCTCTGGGAACTGGGGGGGTGTGCTGACAGCTTGGCCAACTGCCACACCACGGCTGTAATCTTCTGCCCCTGTGCCTCTTATAATTACATTTGTCATAAAATGAGTTATTGGATCTTTGTTGCTGAAATAGTCTTCCCGTGTCACAGGGTCTGTGCCCTGGCTCTGTAGCAGAAACAGCGGTTGGGTTTATTCTCGCGATGCTGTAGGTGTGTGCAGATGCTCTGCCCGAGCAGTCAGGCAGGTCCCGTCGCTGCATCACCGCACGTCCAAAGTCTCGCTGGCCGAGAGGGGCTGCGGTGGGGTGTGCGAGGGAGGACGGCGGCTGCCTTCTGCAAGCACTTGCTTTCCGAGGGGCTGCAAAAGCTCCAGGAATGTAGATATGGTTGATTGCTGGGGTTGATTGTGGAGTGGGGAAAATACATCACCAGCAAGAACGAGTGGGTGTGAGACAAAGGAGAAATGGAGCTGCAGGAAGGGGAAAAGGCTTCAGTGGAGTCACGAATGTGTCCGTGGGTTTCCTGCCTCAGGTTTTGCTAATCATCCTTGGGTTTTTTTCCCTGTCCCTTTTATTCCCGTGGACCGTGGCACTTGTCCTTTTGTTGGGCTGGGCAGAGCTGTTACTACCTCTGTTTTTCTGGCACTCTGTTTTTCCTGGATCCCACGACCCGAGGTCTCTCTGGAATGTTCCTCCAGCTGTTTGCTTTGCAGTGCTTCAGCTCCCTGCTTTTGCAGGGCACTCTGCTCTAAATCCCCCATCTAACAGGTACAATAATAAATTGGAGAATTCTTCCCTTGCATCCGTGGATCTTCTGTGCCTGGTTAGTGGACCCCCCAAAATCCAGGCTCTCCAGCCTCCGAGGTTTAGGGTAGCTACTTGAGTAAATGAAGCAGATGTTGGTTCCATCGCAGGGACCTGCAGCTGGCGAGAGCATTCTGGATTTCGGAGCTACACAGTGCCGGGGGATTGAAGGGAGTCTGCCCGGCTCTGCTGTGACTGTGACTGTTGGCAGTAATCTCGTTGCCACCGGTCGCTGGAGGTGATGCTCTTGCAGAGTGGGCACGGTGGCCTCTGGGACAAGGACGATGAACCTCACAGCCAGCGTGTCCCCCAGCCCTTTGTCACACTGGCTGGTTCATCTTTGCAAGAGTTGTAGAAAATCGGTTGCTCTGCCTCGTCTTTGAGCGAGTTTGAGTCATCTCTTCCAGGAAAATCCTGTGTAACCAGCTGTGGCTGTTATGGAGTGTTGCTCCATAAATACCAGCTGCTCCGACGAGCAGAGCAGCACCAGGGTCTCGTACCAGGACTCCTGTTACTTTGGCATTAACATGAGATACTGAATGCTTTAGGAAAGTGTTACATTTTACAGCTTTATCAGAAAGTAACGCTTGATTTTTCACAAAAGCCTGTACAGTTTTCACGGGGAAATTCACAAGGCGCAGGTGACGGTGTGTGGCTGCGGCAGGGAGACCGGCAGCGTGCTGGTGTGTGCCCTGGCAAACCCGCCTGCCCTCCTCCCGGGCGGGTTTGGGTTTGTCGTGCGTCCCTGCTCACGTGCCGATATTGCCGTGTCGCTTCTCAGACCTCAGCCTCCGCATGGCTTGAGTGTCAGTTTTGCTGTGATGCTTTCTTTCAGGAAACTGGAGCAGCGGGACTTCACAACCGGAGTAGCCAAGCTGCTCTTTGAGCGGAGAGTAAACCAGGCTTTGTCTCATCTACATAACGGGGCAGGACCGGAGCAGGGGGCTCGGGGGCTTGTTCCCCGTGCATGTGGGCGCTGGGGTTTCCAGTCACCCATTTGAACTGGGCTGCTCGCGGGGGCTCGGTTAAAAATTTAACCCACAGCTGAGTGGGATGTCCGGAGACCTGGTCCATTGGAATGCAGTGACCTGAACCACGGGTGGATGCTACAAACAAGGCTGGTCCCTGGGGAAGAGGCGCTGCAGCCGGGCTCGGGAAGCATACTGATGCGGAGCGCTGCAGATGCATGCTGAGTGTGTGATTTTCAGCGTTCAGTGCCTACATTGTTGGATAAGCGGATTAGAAAACATTGCATAAAGTGGCATTGCAGGGGGCTGTCTTTATACCTGCTACTTGCCTTGTTTTGCAAACCCTGATTTCACAGCGGAACCCATTCAGAGCTTGCGCTGGGATTGTTCACGTGTATTGGCCTTTTTCAGAACCAAGGGGTCACAGTTTCAGATTCCCTTCATTCTCAAAGCAGTGATATTTTTCTTTTGGGACCAGGGCTGGTGGCAGCCATGTGGGATTTTTAATCTAAACTCAGTTTACTCTTAAGGATAAATATCTGGGGTGCAGCGAGCTCCTAGCGCGTTGGAAGGCGGTTGGGTTCGCTTTCTCCACTTTGCGGTGGGTTAAAGCGCTCCTGTGTCATTGCCCGCTCCTTGACTCTCCAAAGTGTCAAGTTTGCGAGTGGAAAGCGTTTGTCTGACATTCATAGACGTGAATCCCAGCTTGTCAGGTCTGCTTGCAAAGGTGTAATGAGAAACTCGAGTTCAGGGAAATATCTTTGAATCTTACCAGCCACCAAGGGATTTGCCAGAGGAGGTGCCATCGGTGCTGCCGTCTGGACACGCTCGCTCCTCCCGTCCCCAGCTGAGCTGCTTGAGCTGTGGGGCGAGATGTCTCTTCCTTGGGACGACATTCACTGACGGGGATGAGCCATTCCTGGGAGCCGTCTGGGCTGTTCCCACGCTGGGCTTTGGAATTTCACCTTCTCGAAAATCAGTGTTCTGAGGAACGGGCTTGGCTCTCCCCGGTTCTGTGGGCTGTTTAGGAACAGACCAAAAATAGGATCATCTGCTGGGACAGTAGGGAGTTAATTTAAATAAAATCATTTCATCTCTTACCTGGGCTGTCAGTTATTGACTCCTTAGACCTGCACTGGATTCCAGTTTCAGAGCTCTGCCAAAGGGTTTTTAGCGGGGAGCATCTGTGTTGTTGTGTGTCGCTGCAGTCCTCTGGCTGATGGCTCGTGGCCCTTTCTTCCCCCACGCTCTCGTCTGCAGGGACACGTGTGACAATCGCCTGACCTGCTCCACCAGCTCTGCCTCCAGCCTGGACACCAGTGCCCAGTTCCAGGAGAACAACGGGCAGACGCCGAGCACCAGGTGGGACGAACAGCAGAAGGTCTTTGCCCTCGAGCAGGTCTGTGGCGTCTTCAGAGTGGACCTGGGACAAATGAGGTCCCTTCGCCTCTTCTTTAGGTAGCGTATCGTGTGCGTGGTGGTTGTGCTTGGGCTCGGTGCATGCTGGGCTCGGGGGCAGGTGGCTTCTGCAGCCCGCTGTGGAAGTCCTTCCCTAAGGGTTGTCTCCAGCAAAGCGAGTGTCAGCCTTCCCCCGGAGAGCCTCTGGACTAGTTATGGGGCCTAAAAGGATTTTTTTCCATAATGAGGTAAAGGTTGCTCTTAGCTGTCTTACCAAAAATGTTTAAAATAACCTGGAGGTGTGGAAAACATCTCTTTACCTACGGTACCTGCTCCTCTGCCTGCCCCACACCAGGGCTCCTCTAGGGTCTTGCTGCTCTTGGCCTCCTCAGTTATCTTTCCATTCATTACAGAAGTTATTCAGAACATTTTTCCTCCCTCCTTCTGCTCTCACTCCCTGCTTTAGGCAGTGCTGTGTGCGACCGAGCCGCCCGGCCCTAGGAGCTGACTTTGTGAACTGCCTTCGTGGTGCTGGGGCAGATCTCTGGGGGTTTTGTTCTCCAGGGAAGACAGTATTTAATTCTTGTTCTCCAGGGAAGACAGTATTTAATTCCTTCGCCTGATGGAGGGATAGAAGAGTGCCGTTACCAGGCACGAGTGGAGCTTCTTGGGGAGCATGGTCACTATGGCCATGCCGTAGAGTCATGGGGTACCTCCAGCTGGAAGGGACCCGTAAGGACCATGAGGTCCCAGAGCTGTACGATGACTTCTGCGCCCTGTCCTAAGGGGCAGCTTGGTGCCACGCTTCTTTGTAATTTGCTCTCCACTCTCTCCGATCTGATGTCCTCCCTTCCCGCGGGGGCCCTCGTTATCCGGGGCAGTAAACGAGGCTGTTCCCCCGTTGCTTTGTCCTGCAGCGATGAGGCATGCACCTGCGGACAGCTGGTGGTTGCGAGCAGGGAGAGCCAGTACAAGATCTTCCATTTCCACCACGGCGGCCTGGATAAACTCTCCGAGGTGTTTCAGCAATGGAAGTACTGCACGGAGACCCACCTCAAGGACCAGGTACGCCAGCGAGGGGCGCGGGGCAAAGAGGGCTTTCCGGCAGATGTTTCAGGCTGAGGTTTTCAGCCAGGGGAGCATGCTGGAGAAGGGAAGCGATGGGTTGATGGGAGCAGGTCAGGCAGAAGGTGTGCTGGGGGTCGCTGGGGATGCAGCCACCAGTCGGGCACGGGGTCTCTGCCGCACCCGCATACCCTCACCCGTCCCTGTTCTGCCAACATGGGGGAGGACGATCCCGAAGACTTGCTTAGGCAGTTGTTTTGTGACGCCCGACAGGTCAGCGCGGTGCTTGAGGCGTGTGAGGTGGCTGGGAGATGTGCGGCCGT